GGGAGTGCGCCATGGCAAACACTCCGGGACATCCGTCGGTGGTTGTGGAGTTTGCGCAGACTCACGCCCCTCCGGACCCGCGTGCAGAGGCCCTCGCGTCTGCGCAAGTGCACGCCGAGGAATTACGACAACGGCGGTAGAACCAGCCGCCGCCTGCGCCGGCGCGCTCGGTACAGCATGCTGCGCCCCATGCGCATGGCCCGATGGGTGGCGCCCGGGGTCACGCCCGCTAGGTCCAACACGACATCATGAACGAGGGGAATGATCTCCCATAGTTCGCTCGGGCTAGCCAGAACATCGCCGCTGCAGCAAATGCTTCTGCGCGGCGTTCCCGAGCCCATCGACCCCCAGGAGCGGGCAGTCTACCGGAACCTCTAGGTTCTAGTAGAAGCCGCCGCTGTTCAACAGGTGAAAAGCTCCGCATCGAGACTCCAACACGCGCCCTCTCTCCCTACCGGGGGAATGGGGACGCGCCAGACGGATCGCTCCGTCCGCTCGCTGCTATAGCCGCCAGGTGCGTCTCAGGAGGCAGCAGCCACGTCTCAGTCCGACATGGTGTCTGCTCCGCACCGACCGTCGGTACACGAGCGGCCCAGTCCACACCAGGATGCTCACAGCGTCGTCAGTAGCCAGCATCACATCCAACATGATGATGACGTCCACCGGGCGACGAGGAGAGCAGGCGACACGGATCCTGGCCGAACCATCGAGGGGAGCAGTGAAACGCGCCCCAGACACGGTTGCTAGCCGGACGACCGGAGTCCCAGCTCTAAGGGCCCGGGACCACGGGCCTTTGACTGGCGTATTCGGAGAGCGCCTTTCCCGCAGCGCTTCCGACCACCCACCAACATCACCAAGTACACCAGGGAAACAAACCCCGGTATTTGGCTCGAAGATTTCCGGCTCGCCTACCGAGCTGGAGGGGTGGATGATAACTTTTTCATCATTCAGTATCTCCCCATCTACATGGGGGAACATGTCCGGGTATGGCTTGAATTCTTCCCGCACAACAGCATCCACGACTAGGCGGACCTCAAGAGGGTCTTCGCCGAGATTTTCCAAGGGACGTATGTCCGCCCTGGAAACTCCTAGGACCTCAAGAGTTGCCAGCAGGAGCCCAGCGAGTCCTCGTGGGACTACATCTGTAGGTTCTCCCAACGATACAACTCCCTCCCTGATGTCGTCGATGTGGACGTCATCAACGCATTTCTCTCCGGGATGACCTGCGAGTCCCTGATCCACAAGCTTGGATGCCTGAAGCCTTGTACCACCCGCGACCTACTCGACGTCGCCAGTAACCACGCCTCTGGCGAGGAAACAGTCGGAGTGGTCTTCTACAGGGGCCGGGACAAAGGCATGGCCACGCGCACGGACCAAGACGAGGGCCCCTCCACGCAGAGGGGCAAGAAGAACAAAAAGGACCGGCGCCAACTGGACAATGCCGCGCAACTGGCCCCACGGGCAAGCAGCCCCAACAGGGCCTGCCTGACCCCTTCAACAAACTCATGGATAGCCCATGCACCAACCACGCCTACCCCGTCAAACACCTCTACAAGGACTATGAGCTCCTCAAACGTTTCCTACGGCAGGCCGATGGGCCAAAAGAAGGGGATGGCAAAGAGGTGACCAAGAAAGGAGACGCGACGGGCAAGGATGGAGACACGACGTCCAAGTGCTAGCACAAGGTATGCTACGGGGAGGCCTACGTCACCGAGATGGCCGTCCCCTCCTTCCTCAGCTGGTCGGAATCTCCGATCACCTTCGACTAGAGGGACCATCCTTCCCATGTCGCGAGACCGGGACGCTACCCGCTCGTCAACGATCCCATCGTCCGCAAGAAGCGCCTCACCAAGGTGCTGATGGACGGAGGTAGCGGCCTCAACATCCTCTACATCGACACCCTCGACGCCAAGCGTATCCCCCGATCGGAGCTTTGCCTGGCGGGCTCTCCCTTCCACGGGGTGATCTCGGGAGCGCAGGCATACCCGCTCGGGTAGATCGACCTGCCCGTCACATTCGGTAACTGAGCCAACTTCCGCTCGAAGGTTCTCACCTTCGAAGTGGTGGACTTCCTAGGGTCCTACCACGCCATCTTGGGGCGGCCATGCTATGCCAAATTCATGGCAATCCCCAACTACACCTTCCTCAAGATGAAGATGCCAGAACCAAACGGCATCATCACCATGAGCAGCGCTTTCTTGCACGCCTTCACGTGCGACCGCGAGCACTATGAGCTCGCCACTGCGGTCGTCAACTCGTCCGAGCTCCCACGGCTCGGGGAATCATCGATCCCGGTAGTCCCGGACTACAACAAACCAACCTTCTCGATGACCTTCTGATCGCTCGAAGAAACCAAGGCGGTGGGGGTCGACCCCACCGACCTGGCCAAGATGGTGTGGATCGGGACCCAGCTCCCGGCCAAATAGGAATGCGAGCTCGTCGACTTTCTACGCGACAACCACGATGTCTTCGCATGGCAGCCTTCTGACACGCCGGGCATACCATGAGAGGTCGCCGAGCATGCACTGCGCCTCATCCTGGGCTCGAAACCCGCCAAGCAGCGCATGCGTCGCTTCGATGACGAAAGGTGCAGGGCCATAGGCGAAGAAATCGCCAAACTCCTGGCAGCTAGATTCATCAGAGAGGTATTCCACTCCAACTGGCTTGCCAATTCCGTTCTTGTCAAAAAGAGGACTGGGAAGTGGAGAATGTGCATTGATTATACTGACCTCAACAAAGCGTGTCCAAAGTATCACTTTTCTTTGCCGCGCATAGATCAGATAGTTGACTCCACCTCGGGTTGCGAGATCATCTCCTTTCTGGATGCCTACTCAGGCTATCACCAGATCACGATGAAAGAGTCTGATTAGCTCACAACCTCGTTCATCACCCCGTATGGTTCGTATTGCTTCATAACCATGCCATTCGCCTTGAAGAACGCTGGCGCCACCTACCAAAGGTTTATGCAGCAATGCTTCGCCGACCAAATCGATCCGCTCGATCAGCCTGACCAAACTGAATGGCCAAGAGCGACGATCGTCGTCTTTGTTGATGACATAGTAGTCAAAACAACTCAAGCCTGCTACCTGATCATAAACTTGGCCACAACATTCACGAACCTCCGAAGATTCAACATCAAGCTGAACCCCGAAAAATATGTTTTCGGGGTCCCAAAGGGAAAGCTGCTAGGATACATTGTGTCTGAGTGCGGCATCGAGGCCAACCCTGAAAAAATCATGGCCATCTCCAACATGGGTCCCATACGCAACGTCAAGGGCGTGCAAAGGCTCACCGGCTGTCTGGCTGCCCTAAGTCAATTCATCTCTCGGCTCGGCGAACGGGGGATGCCACTCTACAAGCTCCTCAAAAAGACGGATACTTTCGTCTGGACTGAGGAAGCCCAGCTGGCCCTGGAGAGCCTCAAAGTGTCCCTGACGTCAGCCCCAATCCTCGTCGCTCCTGAACGGGGAGAACCCCTTCTCCTGTACATCGCGGCCAGCCACCATGTGGTAAGCGCCGCGCTGGTCATCGAAAGGGAGGAGCCGGGACACCAACTTAAGGTCCAGCGGCCCGTATACTTCATCGAGGAAGTACTCACCGACCCCAAGATCCGGTATCCCCAGGTGCAAAAACTCCTATACGCCGTGCTAATGGTGATCCAGAAGCTCCAGCACTACTTCATACCCCACTCGGGGACATCATCCGCAATCGCGACACCGTGGGACGGATCTCTAAGTGGGCACTCGAACTCATGGGCCACGACATGAGGTACATCCCCCGTACCGCCATTAAATCTCAAGCTCTTGCGGATTTTATCGTCGAATGGACAGAGGTACAGCTACCGACTCCGGAACCAACCACCTCGGCTGCGCAACGATGCCCTGGTTGACGACTCCATCTCGACTAAAAAACACGAACACACGCCCGCTAACGAACACCCCCAGACGATTCTACCCGAATCGCCTGGGGGCTCGGGGGCTACACCCGTGAGTGCGCTCGCGCGCATCCGCTCACAAAACAAAAACTTCTCCCGCCGGCAACACGAAAAACCACTGTTTTCTCTGCACCGTGCATGCATGGCATCATCCATCCATCATCCCTCCTTCGACTCGATGCTGTCAGCTAGACCTCATTCGTCAATCTTGGTATCTCGCTTAATTGATCGGCCTACCGCGAGGGAGCGTGTACGACCCCAGCTGAGCCAGTAACGTAGTAGTGCTCGGTGGCCGCTAGATATCATGATGCATGTCTATGTAGGGGCGGGTCGGATGGGACATTCCGATCCATATTAACCATGGCCATAGTAGCCGCAGCTATGCATTGACATGGATGATTATTCTGTGCTTGCTTGTTCCATTCGATCGGATGGCAACACCGAGAGCTCGATCTCAAAGCCTTGCAGGCCGTCCATTCTCGATCGCCGGGCCCCGGCAAGGCTGGACGACGACGCGCAGCATGTAGCGTGCAAGTACGGCTGGCGCTCACAGCACATCGGGCCTGTTCACTCGAACTTATTGGCCGTATCATTTTAACAAAATAATAATATTTTTTTCTTATAATAAATCTGTATTAGCATCAACGTCAACATCAGCGTCGACCGTTTTTTCGGGCAGCCGAACACAACCATCGCCCCGTCCGCGGCAATCCCTATCCGTCCACAGTAACAGAGACACGCCACGCGCGCGCATTCCATCGGTCGGTGTATATCGTCACACACGCGGCTGCGCCAACGCGCGCCCCGGCCCGGCGGCCCGCGCCGGACGGCTATTTATAGCCCCCCTCGCCCACCACCCTCTCCCGCACATCCGCACCGGACATCGTCGTCCCCAACTAACTTAGCAAGCTACTATACAAATAAAAAAGACTCTGATCGACTCCATCCGCAGGGATCGGACATCGGAGAGGGAGGGAGGAAAAGCAAAGCAAAACAAGCGGCGCGCGGCAGCCACCCACCCACCACCATAGCAGCAAGAAGCTAGCTAATTAAGAAGCAGGCGGGCATGTCGGGCGTGTGGCTGTTCCGGAACGGCGTGGTGCGGCTGGTGGAGAACCCGACGTCGGGGAACGCGGCGGCGGCGTCGGGCAAGCGCAAGGCGTTGCTGCACACGCCGTCCGGGGAGGTGGTCACGTCCTACGCCTCGCTGGATCGCAAGCTGGCGGCGCTCGGCTGGGAGCGCTACTACGCCGACGACAACGGCGGCGGCGGCGGCGGCGGCGGCCTGCTGCAGTACCACAAGCGGACCTCCGTGGACCTCATCTCGCTGCCCAAGGACTTTGCCCACTTCGGCTCCGTCCACATGTACGACATCGTCATCAAGAACCGCGACGCCTTCCGCGTCATCGACGCCTAGATAGCTAGGCTGCCTAGTCGTACTGGCTGCTGCTACCTCTCCTCTCTCGATCGATCGCTCCATCATCGCCTTCTTCGTTATTAATTCCTGCCTGCTGCATCACTGCAGTAGTTCATCGTCTACCTATAGCTAGCTAGCTAGCTAGCCTTTGTTTGTACCCTAATTTGTTGCGTCTATCTACTTGCTCATCCATCGATCGGTTTGTGTAATGTACGTGGCGTTCGCGTGCTGTGCATAGGGAGTTACTTGTTCGTAGCCATTGCTCGATTTGGTTGCCCTTGGGTCCAAAATAGCTGATGTACTGATGAGTTTGCATGCTTGTGGCCTTATGCATGTTTTCGCATGTTGCTGGGTCGATCTGCGTGTATTCTCAGTCGATCTCATGAGCTGTGATCCAAGAACCAATTAATCGGTTAGTTTCTATTGCAGAGTTTTAGGATCGATGAATCGGATTACAGCAACAGACTTTAAAATTAATTAGGTGATGACGTACTGATCCAAAACCAAGTGTTAGAAGCCTGATCACTAGCCAGCTAACACTTGAAATAATCAAGTGCAGAGCGAGCACAATACTCTTGCTAGTAACCACAATCCTCTTCGCCAGCTAACACTTGAAATAACCAAGTGCAGAGCCAGCTACCACTTGAATAGTAATCAAATGCAGAGCGAGTACAGAACTCTTTGCTAGTAACCGATCCTCGATCTTCTGGCTGCGGCGGCCAGCCATGGCCATGCCGTCGATCAGTGGCAGAGCCACCCCTGGCGTCCACCCAACTCGTCGTCAGCGGCGAAGTATAAAGAAAAATGTTCTTTTACATATCAAACAGAAACATCATATTTTTTTGGATAGATATTTTCATACAACGAGATCGAATCGCTTGGGCTAGTAAGAATTTCTGGCTATATATGCCACCACCGCGCCATCGATGGATGGAGACTGCTGGAGGAGAGGACCAACCAATGCAAAGCCGGTCACTGTAGCTGAGATACTCCGTCTCTGTTTACTGATCAATAGCGACCACTCAGTCATGGATGTGCACAGGTAGTCAGGGACAGGATACAGCTAGAGCTAGGCCCGTGGGGACGTGATCGTGAGTGAGAGAATATATGTTGCTGACTTGCTGTCGCTGGGTTGGGTACGTTCGCCTCCGCCTCTGCTTGCACTCGCTCGCTCATCCACCAATGGCCCGGCCACGACACAACCGCTCTGGCTGGCATCATTCTTGCACACAATAATTTCTGCGCGTCCTACTCCTACCCCGGCAGCTACCTCTGCTCGACCGTCCGGTAGTCTAGAGATCGGATTAAGTCCATTTTTGGCCCCTCAATTACTGTGTTGGTCTAATTTTAAACATCAACTACAAAACCATCTGGTGGTGATACCCAAACTATCAAAACCGTTCATTTTTAGCACATGAGTGCGGACGAGGCTGTTTTGACCGACGTTGAGCGGTTTTGACACGCGACCTAACATGTGGGGCCCATGCGTCATCGACTCAACCCCTCCTCTGTTCGTTCCTGCTACGTGCCCGCGCCCCAGGCAGCGAGGCCCGCCATGCCGACTCCTCCGCACTCCCGCCCCTGCCCCTGGGCCCGACGCCGCCGCCGGTCTCTTGGGCCATTGCTCTTCCTCGCGGCGCGCGACTTGACATCGAGCTCGTCCTCCGTCGCGCCATCGCGGGACCACGGCAAGGTCTTTACCTTCGCCGGTGGGGCGGCGCGTGCCGGCATCTTCGTGGCTGACCACGCCATGGCGCACCGCGCGCGCTGCGTCGCGGCTTGGCGCGCGTTCGCCTTCGCTCCCGCCCTCCACGGACTCCAGCGCCGTGTTTCTCACCAAGGCGGCGGCCGCAACGTCGCCTCCTCCCCCTATGGCGCCACGTGGCGCGCTGCTCGCGACAGAACCTCGCCTCCGGGGTGCTCAACCCGGCGTGGCTCGAAGCCTTCTCCCCAGCGTGCGGCTGGGTGCTCGCGTCCTCGCCGCCACGCGTCCACGCCGGCGGCCGCCACGGGGAGACCCCATTGCCGTCATGGAGCCGTTCCAATGCGCCATGTTCGCCTCCTTGTCTACATAAAGCTTGGTGGCGACCGCCTCGGGGCGAGCCAGGCGGGAGGCCGGCACCGACGGGATCGCTACGTCGACTCCATGGTGAAGCCGACCATCCCCGAGGACGGCGGGAGGCGGCGACGGACGGCGAGATCGTGAGCCTCGCTCCGAGTTCCTCGGCGCGCGCACCGACACCACGCCACCACCACGATGCAAAGGATTCTGGCGAACTGGTCAAGAACCCGCGATGCAAGATAGGCTTTGGACGAGGTGTCCGGCGTCGTCGGCCAATCGGCGGCGAGGTGCGCGACGAGGACTGCGCAGCGATGCCGCATTACAAGGCGCCGTGGTGCGGGCGCGCCGGCGCCACCCGCCGGGCCACTACGTGCTCCCGCACGCCGTGCATGAGGGCACGACGCTGGACGGGTACCGCATGCCCGCCGGCGCGCCCGTCAACTTCGCGCTGGCCTCCACTCCTCTCGGCGGTCCCGGGGCCGTTGTGGTGCTGTGTTGTCGCCGTGCATTGGGCGGCTTCTGCTGCTGCGGCGCGGCCTGCTGTTGTTGCTGCGGGGGCAGAGTCTGCGAGGCTGGTGGTTGCGGAAGGCAGCCATGGCGAGCTCCTGCGCTAGGATCTCCTGCTCGCGCGCGTTGGTGGCGGCGTTTGGTGGCTCGAGCTCGCCGGCGGGAGAACGCTCCGGCGCTCGATGGCCCAGGATGAGGCGTCGGAGAGGTCGACGGGGCGGAGGAGGTGCTGGTGGCCCAAGGAATCGGCCCAGGACAGCTTAGAGGCGGCGGATTTGGGGCGGCGGCGCAGTCGGCTAGAAGCAGAGGAGATGCGGCGGGTTGTCCCAGCCACCGGCATTTGTAGGAGCAAACAGAGGAGGGGTTGAGTCGATGATGCATGGGCCCCACATGTCAGGTTGCATGTCAAAACCGCTCAACGTCGGTCCAAACAGCCTCGTCCGCACCTATGTGCTAAAAGTGAACGGTTTTGACAGTTGGGGTATCACCATCCATACGGTTTTGTAGTTGAGGGTTAAAATTAGACCAACACAATAAGTAAGGGCCAAAAGTGAACTTAATCCTTAGAGATTTTTAGATAGAGGGCTTTTTACCAAACTTAGGCATGCTGTAGCTGTACTGCAGCAGCTAGCAGTAGTCAGAGCCTGAGAGAGAACCATTATATAAGCACAGAAAACTCGTGGATGCTTTAATTTGTCCTTAATCAAACTATTTAAGGTGAATCAATTATAGAAGATAGTACCAACAACTATAACTCCGATATAGTGTATGATATATTTAATAATACCTATTCGACATCATAAAATAATTATAGTTTTTTTTGTAGAAATTTAGTCACACTTAAGTGCTCTGTTCGCTTGGCTTATAGGCCGTACTTTTTTAGCCAACAAATAATATTTTTTCTCACAATAAATCAGCTAATAGTACTTTCAGCCTGACTTATCAGTCAAACAAACGGGACAAAGATTGTTTGACTTAGAACTATGTAGAATTACATTCCTTTTGGATGGAGGAAGCTATAAGTGAAGGCGATTCAATATGTGGGATTGGAGAAGAAACTAAAAGGAGGAATGTGCGCGACGTACGCCTGTATGATACTTGCCAACTAGTTCGAGATAAGAGGTAGTACATTTCTGCTAGGAATAAATCTATTTCACCCCTACTATTCAAAGATTTTGACTACTTTAACCCATCACCTATGAACAAGGCATTCTATGGTGGTTTTAGAAGTGATTTTTACCTTGTGGCACTACCCGTTGGACAACGGTACACAGTGAGAATATTTTTAAAACAATTCCAAAGCACCATACATGCATCGATGACCACCGGATAAAGGTCAACGAGAAGATGAGAACAATGGCAGCTTTGCTTAACCACGAGGGAAACAGACACAAGGGAGATAATGAAGCAAGGGCCTGGCATGGCGGTTGCCTATCCCATGGAACTATTGACATTGACGTGTGTTGTGGTGGTCAGTGGATCGAATCTTGGTGGTGGTAAAAGGTCAACTCATATACGTGATTGGTAATTGGTTGTATGTCCTCACCATATCATCGTCAATGTGTAGTGGCTCCTAAGCAAAACCACCACTTAAATTTGCTAGAGGGTGTTATTTAAATAGCTTTGGATGGTTTAGAGGGCAGAATACCTGGCTTCACTGTAAGGGGTTAAGTAGTCAATCTTGATTAGATGCACTACATAAGCAGAATTCTAGATTCTATGATGAGCCGTGGCAATAGAGCTATTCATCACTAATCAATAATTATTCGGTCTATGATATTTTCTAGGAGCTAGTTCGGTCTTTGATTTTGGTGGTGAAATTTTTTATTTTTTTAGGAAGGATTAGTGGTTCAATGAACTATAATATTGAATATGTTATTACTTTTTAACATTTTGTGAAAAAACAAAAAAAAAAACAAAGTAGACTAAAGAAGCAAAACAGAAGAAAAAAAAACATCAAACAAAACCGAGCGAAGCCATCGAGCGGAATCCGGACCAAAAAGAAAAATCGAGCTCACCGATTTGAAAAGCCTAATTTGAGGCCGAACAAAATTTACCAACAAAAAATTTATCATTTCAATATTAAATACAATGGTATAGATATAGATATATAAAATGGAGATATTTAAAAAAATGAAAAAAAGCCCAAAACAGGCATGGGAAAGAACGACAGAAAAATGGATGGAAAAAAAATTCCTAAGAGCATCTTAAGAGTCTTTCTAAAATTTACTCTTCATTATTCGAAGAGTCATTCGAGTAAAACTTGCTTTCTATATATTTGTATCATTCAACAACTTTTCTATATCTTATGCGCATTCTAGTGAGAGTCATCCTCACTCTCTATCTATGGCTAGTGAGAAATTCGGAATATAAGATGTCTATATTTGAAGATTCATTTAAAAAGACCGTTGGAGGATGTTTCTTTCACCAA